AACCCCTTCTCAATATGTTATAACCCCAAAAAACCCCTAACCACTTTATCGAAATAATGTACCCTCCTACGATTTTGCCAACCCCACCCTCCTGGGAAGCAAAACGGTCAAAAGATGTAAGAAATCAAAAATCTACAATCAAATACTTTTAATAAGTACCCGCTAACGTTTGTTTTTTTTAATGAGGTTCGAGGTACGAAGTATTTACAAATAATATTTTGATAAGAGATAAGAAGAAATCATGAAGTTTTATTTTGTCAAACAATCCCGTTAATAGCTAGATTGTCAATTGTCAATGTGCTGATATATGACTTTACTAACGAATCAATCCAGCTCAAGGTCCCTTGGGGAAGGCTCTGCTGGATGGCAAACAAACTATATAATGCTTCGTATCTTGAAATCGAAAATATCTTATGAGGGAAAAAAAGTATTTTTGAAAAGGTTTTGGATACGACATTAGTAATCCAGCAAAAAATCTTATTTTGCCATCTAGTAGCAATCACGTGTCAATCTATTGCAAAATGCCTATTGTGTGTTAGTAAGATATAGGTACGTTTTGGAAGGAGTGAGTGAGGGAGGAGAGAGAGGGAAGGGGAGGGGAGAGAGGGGATGGGAGGGGAGGGGAAGTTTAGGTTTGTCTGTGTTTTATCTAAATATGAATATTAAAGCTAGTAACCTTACGTAGGGAAGGAAGATTGCACATGTTAAAATATAAAAAGCGATAAAGTTATTTTATTTTTCAATAAAAATAAAGCGAAAAAATTAAAAGTACTTCGTTTATTGCGTTGAATAGCATTCCCTGAGCCCGCGATCCTTGTTGTTTCCGTGCCAAGAAACGGAAGGGACTAGCCCGATCCGGCTGCACGTACTGTTTTCTGATTGGTTAATACACCAACTACTAACTCTAGAAGAAATGAAACCGGAAGCAGAAGACCTGGTGGTCGCGGACTCCTTGGTGTAACTGGTAGTCCAGAAAGGCTCGCGTAACAAGAAGGATTCAATGAAGAGCAACACATAATAATAGCTATTCTTAGATCGAGAGAAAAACTGGGTCCAGTTGGCTTTCAAGTGCATTCTGGGTCTGTTTTAGGGGACCAAATAATAACAATCCTGACAATATGTCTACTCAAACATACCCAAAATGCACTATAATACAAACCAACATTACACCAAAACCATGCGCTATCATCTATGCTTTTTGCTCCAAATGGCACAAAATGTATCAAAATCGACCAAAACCATGGGCTATAGTCCATGCATTTTGCTCAAGTGACCCATAATCACCTTATTTGCATCCTTCATAAATAATGCAWWTYWTYWYAAAAGGTGTGAAAATGGTCCAAAATCSACCAAAACCATGGGCTATAGTTCATGCTTTTTGCYYAAAAATGSCCCAAAATGACCTATTTTGAATCCTTCATAAATAATGCATACTATATCAAAAGGTGTGAAAATAGTCCAAAATCGACCAAAACCATGGGCTATAGTCCATGCTTTTTGCTCAAAAATGCCCCAAAATGACCTATTTTGAATCCTTCATAAATAATGTATACTATATCAAAAGGTGTGAAAATAGTCCAAAATCCACCAAAACCATGGGCTATAGTCCATGCTTTTTGCTCAAAAATGCCCCAAAATGCCCTATTTTGAATCCTTCATAAATAATGCATACTATATCAAAAGGTGTGAAAAT